ATATGAGTTAAGTTAATTAGAGGTAGACTTGCCGCGAGTGTTTTTGTTTCCGGGGTGATTGACTGATTTGTTCTGGTCTGCTGAGTCTCTACACCCCTCCCTCCCGGGGGCAGAGCGTTCTGTAATGGATGGAAACATATTTCTCTTTGGGGAAAAATTGTCGACGGGAGATACAAAATAAACGCGATCGTAAATATTCACTAAAATATTGCTCTATGAAACATCTACAAGCCCAACTGAACATTTTGAAGTTTCCTTAATCTATTTTATGGTTGAAAGTGTCAGTTTATATATATATATACAGTAGAACTTAGAAAATTCGAACGTCTTCGATTCGGATATTTAGCTTGGTCCTTAGAATTTCATATAAATATAATTTCCGTTTTTAATTCGAATTATTTTTGGTCCCTTTTGCTTCGAATTATTCAAGTTCGACTGTATATATATATATATACTCATGGACAAAATTTGAGGAAGTTGTACCTTTTAACATGTATATCGGGATTCAGACAATATCTCTGAAAGATATTTGATACATAGTGACCTTTAAAAATAAAGAAAGCATATCCTAACCAGGAGCACATGTGCTTTACAGAAAGCAGAGCGCCATCTGGTGGAACAGAAATCAACTAAACATTGATTTAGCCTGTTCCCTGATATTTGGCCTATCCAATTTCTTGATAAATCAAGAAAAGCCATCCACGAACGCGTTTCGCGCTGTTGGCGCTCGTCAGCGTGGAGTAGGCTGTACCTTTATTGAAGACACACGAACTAACCAAATTTTAGTAAAAAATATTAAAATGTACCATCTATTGAAAACATTTTTGCATCTTTTTAGCACATTGGTACTTTTTTTTTCGAATATATCATCGAAAACTATTGCCTAGAAACCAACGATGATAGAAGAATTGATGAGAGGGCTTTGCTGAAAATATGCTTTATTAAAAAATGAAATACAATAGTAGAGAAGTCTGGAGATTAACTGGATGAAACCGCTGAGTTCACCATTGATGAGCCGAGCCCTCTCGAATAATTTTTCTAACTATCACAGTTAAGTTTGCAGAAGTAATTTCTGGTAAAATTTATTCAAAAAGAAGAATCAATGTCATATATATGTGTTGTATTTATACATCTCTGTGAAATTGCGCTGAATATTAATTTGGAATTCACAGAATGGGCTGAATTTTGCATTATCTATTTGACAAATTTCTTTAGAAAGTTTTAAATTCTACCAAATTGCTTAGTGAATTTATATATCGGTTGTAACGAAGCTAGAACCGAAATTCGAAATCGAATATATCTTGCCATGTTCTCTAATTAAATCAGAATTAAAAATACACACTATATCACACACAATCCTTTATTAAGACATTCCGTCTTATACAGACGATTGTCTTGTTAGAAATGAATCTAAAATGAAATGAGAAGCAGAGGAAGAAATTGAATCCTCGTTCAGAAAATAGAAAAAGAAGGAAAGAATATCTATGTACAAAAGTTGAGACTATATACATCGTTTTTCGTGCATAGAACACAGTGAAGAAGTTTACTATTGAGTAAATGGTTGCATCTTGTGAAGAAAAAAAATATTTACACTCAGTTCAGGTACTTTGTTAGGTCTTTTTTCCTCCTTGCAAAACACACTATATCGTTTGGCAACTATTCAAAATATAGTATAGAGCATATTAGTTGACAATGGCATATAATTTAAGACAATAAAATATAATTTTTGTCTTGAGGGACGACTTTTAGAAATACCTTGGAGAGTATAATTGTTGGTTTCCTGGAAAGTATTTCTTTAGTCTCAACTGAGAGTGGATAGATTCTAAAAGTATATGTCCTATCGGAATTAAAGAAATACTGCTTGGTTTTGAAAATTTGAAACTATTATAGACGCGTATGATTCTTTTTGAAATTAAACAATTTCTACTGCCCTTACTGCAATGGAAAAATTATAGAGAGGGCATGGTTCATCAGTGGTGAACCCTCCCAGCGGTTTCTCCAGTTTAATCTACCATGCTTGGTTTATTTTAAAAAAATTCATAATTGAAGGCAGATGTAAACGACACTAAAAACAATATAGATGGTGAAGAAGAAAATAGCTGTAAATGTTTATTACGGCAAGATTGTAAAAATTCTTATAAAAGAGGACAATGGAGAGATTAAAAAGAGACTAAAATGAAGGTACAGGTGAAGCAAAGAATTGAAAATATAATTGATTAATCTGATATTACAAGTATCCAATCCTATATCCTAAATTCTACAATAATTGTAAAAACAAGTGATATGGATACTTTAAAAAGTACTAGAAAGTTCAACTGGGCAAACAATGCGCCATAAATTGATTATATTCGATAAATATAGCCGCTCTACATTATGGCTAATATTTGCAAAGTCATGCTTCACTGACACAGTAATCGATGCTCTAAGCCAATCCAATTTAAACCAATATTGCGATAATGTAAAAGAACAAAAAGCAGCTTCTTGTGTAGAACACGTATAGATGTCGTTCGAAAGCTAGCGGAATAAACATGTTCTACACAAGTTATTTTTTGTTCTTTTATATTATTGCAATATAGTAATGGTAATCAAAAATTTGTTCTCTACATCTTAAACTAACATTGCGATAATGTAAAAGAAAAAAGAGCAGCTTTTTGTGTAGAAATGTTGGATCGTTTTTCAAGACAACTTTCTTTCAGATTTATAAAATTAATTTATTAAACTTTAAACATTTTTAGATATCGTTTTGAAAATAGAGCAATCCATAAATAAATATTTTATTAAAAAGGCATATATTGGATCAAAATATTATTTATTTTACCAAAATATTTTTAAAAACTTAATTCTGTTGACGTTATGTGGCGCTGAGTTTGTTGTTGACACACATTAAATATGTTATAACACCTTGAAAACAACAACAAAGCCTTTATTTAGGGCCTCTCGCCCTATACAGGATTCGCCAGTTCACAAGGGATGGGGAGAACACTGTGTGGCCTTTTTCCAGGATATAATCCTGTGGAATCCAAATATCGCCACCGCTATATACCTATTCTTTGATATTTCATTAATTAGTGCCGGAAATGAACAAAGTTGCCCCGTTTTATCATTTAGTTTTCGTCTTTCCTCAGACAGAGCAGCACAATCAAATAGGTAGCGCAACATCTCCATTGTTATTCCTGATCCACAGAAAGTGCATTTCAGGTCTTCACCCCTCATTAAAATCAGATGTTTAACACCTTGATAAAGGTTGGTGTTCAGCTAACTGAAATATTGGTAAAATAAATTATTTTTTGATCCAATATATGCCTTTTTATTTAAAGATTTTTAGATATATAGAGAGAAACGAGTTAATTACCTCGTATTTAAGGCAACAAAAGAATCATCTAATTTACATACATCGTTCTAACCAGATTCAACTTATGCAAAACAGACGACAAGAAAAATAAACAAATTAAAAATGGTATAGGGTAAGTCCCTATTTTTTTATAAGCTTTCACATTCAAAGAATATAGGTAATCAAAAAGTTGTTCTCTACATCTTAAACTAAAATTAAGAAAACTTAAAAAAATTTACCAAAGTAACGATAAATTAATAATACGGTCTTTTTTTTATTTTGGAAAAATGCGAACGTTGTTTCTGAGATTCCTAGAGGTAAATCAAAAGTATCAATAGTAGAATCGAGTTATCATCAGTTTCAATCAATCAGAAGAAATCAAAAGTCGTTAACCTTCACTTCTACCACATTCTTCTTTTCTATAATTTTCTTTTTCTATAAGTTTAGGTTTTTATAATGTACTGGATTTGGGTAATAGTTGTTCACAAATTTTTCATTTATACTCGTAATTATTATTTCAAAGTATTATGTGAATAAGGTGTAAAAAAATACAATTGTTTTTATATTATTTCATAGTTATAAATTTGATGATCTTTGATTCAAAGTAAGTGATGTTCACTTCCCGAAAAAAATGTTATTTTATTGACAATATTAAAAAAACATCGATCATTTTTGTTGGAATTAAAAACGCACACATATTAATAACTTTTTAAATCTCACTATATTATATATACACATCTTTTATACAAAAGGTTAAAATTAATAATAATAATAAATTAAGAAAGCCCTACAATTTCGCTTTATACAGAATGCTTTCAATTGTATCTCGCGTTATGAATATATTCCCAAAATACAAGGTTGTCCCAAAGTTCATAAACACTTGCAAAAAAAATTGAAATACCAATATTATTCGCTGTTATGTATAATATCTTTGTATTATGTATACATTAATTGTATTATATATTATTATATATTCGCCATAATAATATTATTCACCAAAGTAATAAGAAAAAAAACTTTATAAGAAAAAATAACTTTTAGGACAACCTTATATTTAATAATAAGAATAAATTAAAAGAGCACTACAACTTCGTAAAAAGAATGTAAATTGATGTAAATTGAAAAGAATGTCATTCGTATAAAGAATGTTTTCAATTGTATTTTACGTTAAGAAAATATTCCCAAAATATATCAGAGTGGAAGAAAGGAATCGTCTTATCGTGCTGATATTTCATCATCCCACATTCTGTATATATGATCGGCTGCTGAGAAATTCTTCACATGGCGCAACCGAGGGCCTCTTCGTGCCCCTGACCCACCGCCCTGGAACAATGCTCCAGTACCTGGCTGCCATCTAATTACCAACAGGAAGTACTGTACATATCTATAACTTGTTCTTCGCCAGCGCACTCACTAATTACAATAACTACTCTAACATTTTACATCGTTTTTTTACTATGCAAATTTCTACCTTTTCTATCTTTAGATGGGACAAAAATAGAGTGTGATAAGGTATTGGTGAAATCCAGATTTTCAAGACGTTGTAAAGGATAAAGTTTTCAACAGAAGTTGAATATTAGATAAATATGATCACAGTAAGAGGTTCTCAATAAAATAACAGACGAAGAATTTTTATTTATTATGATAGCATCAACACTTAACATAGTAGACCTAGGTAGCCTAGTGGAGAGACATGGCATCTGCCCGGTAAGCGGAACACTGTGGGTTCGATTCCCATCCCTGGACACTTTTATTTTTCCGTTTATCATTACTCTTCACAATTCATCCTTTCATAATTCATCCCGAAGGTTAGAAATAATCGTTATTTCTCCTTAAAAATAAATTTTGATTTTTCGTTTAAAAGAAACACATGCGGGATAATTTTCAAATGTCGTTCTATAATCATAAGCAGCATTATATTGTATTATAAATTACTTAACTATTCTTCAACTGGTATTAATATCAAAATTTATTTTTCTAATTAATAAAAACAATTTAAAAAATAACATACATTTTTAATTTCGTTTTTAAAATAAAGCAATCCATAAATAAATATTTAATTAAAAAGGCATATTTAAACATGCAAACTTTCTCCTTGGATTATAAATACTACAGAATAAAGCGTTAGGAGAAAATAATTTTTAATTAAATTATTTTCTCCTAACGCTTTATTCTGTAGTATTTATAATCCAAGGAGAAAGTTTACATGTTTAATTAAAAATTATTTTCTCCTAACGCTTTATTCTGTAGTATTTATAATCCAAGGAGAAAGTTTACATGTTTACGATTAAAAATTATTTTCTCCTAACGCTTTATTCTGTAGTATTTATAATCCAAGGAGAAAGTTTACATGTTTAAGATTAAAAATTATTTTCTCCTAACGCTTTATTCTGTAGTATTTAAAAAGGCATATATTGGATCAAAATATATTTTATTTTACGAATATTTCAGTTAGCTGATGTGGCGCTGAGTTTGTTGTTGACACACATTAATATGTTATAATACCTTGATAAAAGTTGGCGTTCAGCTAACTGAAATATTGGTAAAATAAATGATATTCTGATCCAATATATGCCTTTTTAATAAATATTTTTAATTTCATAAAAATCATTAAAAACACCTATATAAAAACTACACTCATAGACAAAACTATTAAGAAAGTTGTACCTTTTAGTATGTATATCGGGATTTAGATAATAACTGTGAAAGATGTTACAGTGACCTTGATTGAAGACACACGAGATAACCAATATACACTCATGGACAAAACTTAAGGAAGTTGTACCTCTTAGCATGTATATCGGGATTTAGATAATGACTCTGAAAGATGTTACAGTGACCTTTATTGAAGACACACGAGATAACCAATATACACTCATGGACAAAACTTAAGGAAGTTGTACCTTTCAGCATGTATATCGGGATTTAGATAATAACTGTGAAAGATGTTACAGTGACCTTTATTGAAGACACACGAGATAACCAATATACACTCATGGACAAAACTTAAGGAAGTTGTACCTTTTAGCCTGTATATCGGGATTTAGATAATAACTGTGAAAGATGTTACAGTGACCTTTATTGAAGATACACGAGATAACCAAGTGTGAACAAGTCTGTCTCCTTAAAAAAAGTTGACCCGAGACATCAAGATTTAAAACTTCCTTAAGATTTGTCCATGAGTGTATATATCGTTGACCTAGTAATAAGTTCATCCGCTTTTAGGAACCGCTTCCTTCTTTAAGGTCATGTAAGTGCTCTCTTTCATGTTAGGATGAAGTTGGAGACTTATCCTGCTTTCTGATTGGCACCCTCCTAGCTTAGCCTCTCTAGGGCGTTGTCCACCACGTGGAGGCCCCATGTTGGGATTCTTCCCTTCCTGGCAAATTTACCTTTTGGCTTCATCAGTACTTTATTATTTTTATTTGAGGAATATGACTATCATGAATAGAGTAGGATGGACAATAATCGCTTTCACCTTGGGCTAATCCATATATTGTAGAACGACATTTGAAAATTATCCTGCATGTGTTTCTTTTGAACGAAAAATCGAAATTTATTTTAAGGAGAAATAATGATTATTTCTAACCTTAGGGATGAAGAATGAAAGGATGAATTGTGAAGAGTAATGATAAACGGAAAAATAAAGTGTACAGGGATGGGAATCGTTCAAAAGAAACACATGCGGGATAATTTTCAAATGTCGTTCTACAATCATAAACCGCATTATATTGTATTATAATCCATATATATATTTTTTTATTGTGTCTAGTACACGTGGTACAGGCCATGATAATCATAGTGGGTAGAAATTGGCGACTGCTTTTACTGTAAGTGCATCATATGTCTACATATGTGGAAAGCAGTTCGACTTTTGAACTTACAAATGTGCCAGAGTCCCGTTTGATTACTTGCACTCGCTGGTGGGGTTGGACTTTTTCCAAGAATCGGGGGCCATTGGAGCATTAAAAATAAATAAATAAATTCCGAAACCCAAAATCGAACCAGGGACCTTTATTTCTTCAGTCTAACGCTCTCCCAACTGAGCTATTTCGGCTTTATCCATATTGAACTCGTAGAACCCGACGTTTAGTTCTATTATCTTCCTTCATGAGTAAAGATGCTGATAAACAAAGAGGACGAGGCTTCCATATGACCATGGCCTCTTTGGGCTGGCAGGTGCTGAAGTCAGTCTATCTTCCTACACGGCCATTTAGATGCGTTTATTTTTCCACGTCTTTTGTGCAACGAAAGATGTAATTCATATATTTATTATGTCTAATCATTCAAGAATTCAGATTTTTGGATGAAAAAAAAGTCAGATAAATCCCTGACTAATATAACTCTGAAACTTGTAAGAAAATGGTTTAATTATAAAAATTCTTTCGCAAAATGAAAGTTCTGATGGTCAGCGATACTGGGATACTAAGCGTCTTAAAATTGATTTAAAAAGTCTTCTTTTTTAGGGGTTAAACCGTCCGCCATTCAAATCTAAAGGGTATCTATAACCCTATGTAAAAATATTATTTTTCAAATTATCGATTCAAATTTTGTTTTACGACTCGTGTATCTCAAAAAGTCGTTGCCATGGCTTTTCCGACATATGGAACCATCTTCGCCTTCTTTGAAGCAGATTCCCCGGAATCAGACCATTGTTCTGATTGTTGCTTGGTTTCTAGGGGTTAATAAGGAATCCAGGATCCACGCTCACAACTCGACGCAAATACCCTATGTATTTCTCTTAAATTTTTCCAAGAAATTATTTGAAGTTGAAAGTGGCATCCGCTTGTTGACCACGTGTGCATCGGGCCGATCATTTCTTCATCTTCAACCATTCATGTAGAATACTGAATACCATTCCCGTTGACATGCCTATGGACTCTGTTACTCCATGGACTTCAGTTCGTCGATCTGAGAGAATCATGTTCTGAACTTTTTCTGTGATTTCCTCTGTAACTACATCTACTGGGTGAACTGGGAGATCCTCATCAAATAATGTTGTTCGTCCTCTTTTAAATACTTCTTGAAAATAAAGATACTTCGGCCATTAAATCTTTTTATTGTCTCAATAAGAGACAATAATAAAAAAAATATTTACAGGCCGAAGTGTCTTTTATTTGAAGAACTATGAATGCCGGCCAGGCAGCCTCTATCTTTTAAATACGTTAAGCCAATATCTAACTGTAGAAACCCCAAATTGTTCCCGCAGAGAAACTGAACAAACGGCTCTCTTCACCTTATCTATAAATGTCCGAACTTTACAGAAGTGAGGCATCATTGCTTCCTGATCTAAATGATTTATCTCTCTTACATCAACCACTTTGTTTATATAAATATTTATGAACTCTGTCGATTAATACATGTGAATTTGTAAGTGCTAAGTCGAACTGCTTTTCACATGTTTCGACATGTGGTGCACTTACAGTTAAAGCAGTCGCCTACTTTACCCACCATGATTATCATGGCCTGTACCACGTGTACTCGGGATAAACAAAAAAGTGAATTTGTAAATATTTAATCCTAAGTTTTAATTTGTTTGTTGTTTTGTTTGTTTCATCTCTAATAGGCACAAATACTTCAATATCGCGCCTTGTTGATTCATAAATAAAAATAATGTAGTTTTTTAGATGGGGATAGAGGTTTCTATAAACTACATCCTGCTTAGTTTTTATTTCTTCACATGTTTTCCCATCCAAAATAATAAAATAAAAAAAAAAACGAATCACTGAACGATACTAAACTTTCCCCATCTCAGCCCAAACAATGAAATGGCTGACAAATCAAAACGGTTCCATGAATCATTGCGGAATTTGGCTCGTGCGCATTTAAAGAAGGCCAGCGCGTGGTGTGAACAGCATCAAATTAGGAAAGACAAACCTTAGAAATGACATGGTAATTTATTTAAATGACAGACAGATTAAAAAATAAATAAATATCAAAGATGCAATGGGAGAATTTTAAACATATTATAGGAAAATACAAATATCATAATAATTAATAATCTATTATAAGGCAACATATATATAGCGCGACATATTAAAACAACAAATAAAAGCATTAAAGCATGAATATTTTTACACATAAAACAAACTTCTACTATCCTTACTGCGATCAAATAGTCTGTACATAAAATAATAAATATTTTGCTATGATATTATAGTATGAAGCAATATTATAATGATATTAGGTCTTATGGCTTGCCTAAAGTATTTGATAGTTATGAAAAAGTGTCATTTTGTTTCTCTTCCTAAAGATTTTGCGTGTCATTCGTGTGCAGGTGCCATGCTAATCTTCTCTGTATCCTTCCTATTGTGGTAGTTGTACCGACGAACAAATTTTACGATGATTGATGGGATTGTTTTGATTTGTCAGCCTTTTCTTTTTCAGTGGCGCTAGCCATCAGCAACTTTTATTTTCACGATCAGGAAATGCCATTTTCTCCATTTATCTATCTGATTCCAGTACAATTTCACTTTTTTACTATTTTTTTCACTTTTTTTTTTCAGTATTTAGGCTGAGATGTAGACAGTTCAGTATCGTTCTATGATTCGTTTTTGATTTTGGATGGAAAAACCTGAGAGAAGGAAGAAATAAAAGCCAAGCTGGTTGTAGTTTATGTATAATCCACACACCCACAAACCTTTATTAGGGATCAAGTCCCATACAGGATTCTTCCAGTATAGCAATGGTTTTAATTGAACATAAATCAAGTACTATATACAATTCAACATCAGCCAAAAAAAAAAA